CGCACGCCGCGCCGCCACCCCTCCGTCGCCGCCGCCGCCGCCACTACCGCCGCCATCTCCATTGTCACTGTCACCGACACCGTTGTCGCCGCCAGTCCACCACCGACGCCCCATCACCGTACCGCCACCACCGTCACCGCCGCCGCCGCTGCCCCCGCTGCTCCCGCCGCCATCGCCCCCGCCGCCGTCGCCCCTGCTGCCGTCGCCCCAGCCGCCGAGCCCCTGCTGCCGTCACCACCGCCGCCATCGCTATTGACGCCGTCGCGCCACTGTCACTGTCACCGCGAGCGTCGTCTCAGCCAGCTCACAACCGCCACGCCACCGTCACCGCCGCCACACCTTCACCACAACACTACCGCCGTCGCCACACCTTCACCACAACACCACCGCCGTCGCCTCCGCCGCCGTCGCCTCCGCCGCCGTCGCCTCCACCTCCGCCGCCGGCGCCACTGCCGCCGTCGCCGCCGCCGCCGCTACCGCCGCCATCTCATCGTCACTGTCACCGGCACCGTTGCCGCCGCCAGGCCACCTCGCCGACGCCCCGATGGCGGCGGTGGCGACGGCGGCAGGGGCGACGGCGGCAGGGGATGGCGGCGTGGCGGCTGGCAGTGGCGGCGTGGTGATGAGGTGATGGTGGCGATTGACTTGTGGGGCGCTTGTAGCGAGAGGACGGTGCTTATGACGTGGAGCGGCGGTGATGGCGGCGTCAGCGGCGAAAGCATCGAAGGCGACAGCGGCGGGGACGAACTTGACGGGTCGATCTTGGTGGCAGAGGTGTCTGACGATCGGAAGGTGGCGGCGCGGACGACGGTGGCGGCGGTGACGGTGGTGGAGGTTGTGACGGCGACACGGTGGTTGTGACGGGGGTGGCGGTGATGACGGCGGCCGGGGCGACGGCGGCGGGGGCGGCGGCGGCGGGGGCGACGGCATCGGAGGCGACGATGGTGGCGGTGCGGTGACGGTGTGGCGGCGGTGACGGTGGTGGCGGTTGTGGGCTGGCGGCGACTCCGGTGGCGGTGCAGTGGTAGTGACGCGACGGCGGCGGTAGCGTTGGCGGGGGGGGGGGGGGGGGGGGGGCACCCAAAGCCCCGGGGGGGGAGGCCCCCGCGGGGGGGGCCACCGCAACCCCCGGGGCACCCGCGGCGGAGGGGACGGTGTAGTGGCGGCGCGACGACTCCGGCGGGGCGGCGGTGACGGGGTGGTGGCGGTTGTGACGGTGACGACGGTGGTGATGAGAGACGGGGTCGGCGCTGACGGTGACGGCAGCGGCGACGGCAGTGGAGGCGATGGGGTGAAGAGTAGCCCTCATCGTGAGCCCTCGCTTGTCTGAGGACGGAATCCGATCCATTGACCTCGTCGCACACCGCGCGACCTTCACCTTGTGTCGCACGCAATGCCGTAGACGCGCCAGCTCGCAATAGCTGCCGTACTCGCAACCTCAACTAATCCGTCGCCCTTTCCTGTTTTGGCGTAGGGAAATCAAGCGGCGGTGCATGAGCAATTTTCAGTCTCACACACGTCTGAGCACACGCACACGCAGAAACACGGGGCACACACGCACACGCACAAGAAACATACGGGGCACACGCACACGCAGAAACACGGGGCATACGCACACGAGGCGTTCACTTCTGTGCGATCTCAGGAGAGGGTTGTGCAGAGGCAACAGTATAGCGAGCCGAATCTCGGTCACATCGCTCACGACCTCGCAAGCGCCCGTAGCGTGGTGTCCATAGCCGCATTGTCCTCGCCGTGCTCTCTGGTTTAGTGCGCGCGATACGCAGGGAGGGCGGCTTTCCTCTCTAACATAGCAAATAAGGCGTCGGGCCGACGCCTGTCATGCAGCGTCTGGCGCCAAGTGGAGCGATCGGCGGCGATCTCGGGCCTCGAGTTCGGGCCACCTCGAGCGGTCGACGGGCGCTGCGGATGCAGCGCCCGTACGACATGTTGGGGCATCCGATCGGCCGGTCGTGGGGGGCACCCATGAGCTACGACGAGAGCATGCGACGAGGACGCGATTGGAGTCCACCCTGCTGATATGCCCGAGCCAGTCCAGCCGGCGTCGGGTCGTAGTAGTCGATGAATCGAGGCCTAGCCTCCTTGGCTCGACTCATGATAAACTGCCGCATGGAGCCCGCGGTGGCGAAGGGTGTGCACGCGATAAAGAGGCGGCATACTCGCCCATCGCATCACCCGGTGAAGAGTGATTCAGCTTGCACCTACAAATGTGGGCACCACGACGCGCCTCTGTACCACGACGCACGAGGGCAGGATGCGGCCTTTGCAACGGCACAGCGGTGCACTACCACCTATGTCCTTGTGTCCATCGTGCTGCTCCTGCGTCTGGCGCCGTTTGTGACGCCGCCAGCGCGCGATTTTACGCTCCGCATTTACCTGCGCCGCTGCGCCGTCGCATGCATTCCCCTCTTGCGTTCTGCATTGCCTCATGCCTTCTCCGCATTGCGCACGACGTCATTGCCTCTCACCAGGCAAACTTGCAGCGCCTATGAGATTATTATGCGATATCTGACTTCATCTATCGTGGCTGCTGTCTGCACTCCTCCTCCACTCCCTCCTCCACCACTGCCATTGCCATCGCTACTGCCATTGCCGTCAATCAACCAATGCCATCGCCGCGCCTGCGGCAGAGTGCCGGCACAATCAACCACGCAAGCAGCGACAGCGCGAGAGCATGGGCGAGCCCTGTGTAAGCTGCCACGGGAGTAGGCGCCTTCCGCCGCGCCGAAACAGGACCGAAGCGTCAAAACTGCGCACTGAAGCGACAAAACTGCGCACTGAAGCGACAAAAATGCGCCCTGAAGCGTCAAAAATGCGCACCGGAGCGACAAAAATGCGTGCCGGAGCGACAAAAATGCGTGCCGGAGCGACAAACTTGGTTTGACGATGACGCCGGTCGCGTGCAGGCCTCTGTCCGCAGCGGCTCAGGCCTCCTCGGCCGTCGCAGCTCGCCCGTCTCCTCGCCTCCCCGCAGGGTCCATTCATCGCGCTGGCTGCAATCTCCGCCGGGCCAAAAGCCGCGCCACCACGAGTCGCCATCGGCAGCTCGGACTGCGCTAATAGTACCCAGCAGCCTCTGCAGACTTGCTTCTCCCACGGAGGCAGCCGTCACCACCACTACATTGGTATCACGCTGCTGCAAACGATAGATCACAGGTGTGTTGTGCATCTCAGCGTGCTGGCTGCCATCACGCATGCACCCGCTGCTGATCGTTTGTGCCGTGACATTTCACGCCGCGGTTGCTATCTCTGCCTTCGGTGCAGCTACGCTGCCTTCGCTTTCGCCACTGCTGCATTGCAACATTTGCCAGTGGCGCGACCGCTCCGCACTTGGAGCCGAGGCTCATTCCTCAAGCCTCGCTGGCGTCATTCACCAAAACTTCTGGGTCGCGGACACGACTGCCTCATTCACCAATACCTTAAGGTACTTCAAGACGGCTCGTTTCTTGCACCCGCTGTGTCCACTTCCCACCCCCTCGCCACGGCCATCATCATCGCTACCACTGTGCCACGTCGCAACCGCCCCACCTGCCACCGATCATGCCGCTGCGGCTTAGCTTTCATAGGTGCCGTTGCCACCGCGTTCATTCTGGCCACATCGCCTCCGCCACCGCACGTTGATCATCGCCGTGCCGCCGACGTCCAAGCCGACGTCCAAGCCGTCGTCGCTCTCGCCGCTCCCGCCTCACGATGGTTTGGGCGATCTCGCTCTCCCGCCTCCTGGGGATGCCTGGCCTCTAGTGCGCTACTCGAGTGGGCTCTCTGTTCAAAATATTGCCAAATTACGCACACATGTGCGCAGATAAACATCCTTAGAGTGCCACACACACACACTCCACGTGCGAATGTTCGGGTCGTCAACCGAGCTAACCGCGCCCCCCCGGGGGGGGGGCCAGCGCGGGGCTATCGCGTGGACGTGGTCACGGGGGGAGTGTTGCACACGCGACACGGCACACCCAGCACGCGGTGCGGCCACTCCCACGCCGGCGGGGGCGCACGCGGTGTGTGTTTGTATCTTATTTGCTCGCAAAATGACAAGTTTGCGTGCAAATTTGCTGCAAATTTGACATTTCAAATCCATAAGAGTGACACTATGGATTCCGGGTGACACAGGTTTTTCTCCGACAGCCTGACAGCACGTATCTGACAGCCTGACAGCAGAGTCTGACATCAGAGGTGCTCCGTCGCTGTCAGGCCCCAACGTGACAGCCTGACAGCTGCCCGACAGCCCGACAGCACACAGTGGCCTGACAGCAGCGCTGACAGCCCGACAGCCCGACCAGCCCGACAGCAGCACAGACCGTACACAGGCCGTGCAGCCTCTTTCTTGTGCCCCATGAGGGTGTAACAAAACTGTTACATGCAAAGACATGTGAGTGTGGTCCATGCAGTGTCATGGGATGGTCATGCCTCATGGGTCTCTCTCTCAACCCTCCCGCCCCACCTCTGCGGACCCGCGGCTGTGCTACAACTACAAATGAAGCTACCAGCTAGCCTTCTGGGGCCCTACATACAGCCATATGCCTACGGCGTCTGGATGGGGGTGGCCGCCGCCGTCTGTGCCGCCGCCGCCGGCCCGCCGCCTGCGCCTGCGCCGCCATCTGCGCTCCCCAGGCGGCCGCCGCTGCCGGGGCGTGATCACGCCGTAGGAGGGGGGCAGCTGCGTAGCCGCCGGCGTCATCGGCGTCAGCGCCCCCGCCGCCGCCTGGCCAGCAGCAACGGGGTCTTCATCAACGACGCCAACCAAGGGCCTCTTTATCCTCCGGTGGGACCGTGAGGTGAAAAGGGTGACGTGACCCCCCGCAGACGGCCCGCGCTACCAGAACAGAGCGTGCAAGTACTACAAGCTGACGAGCGACAACGATGGGGAGGCCTTCCAGACTCAGTGCGGCAGACAAGAAGATCTGGTGACGTCCACCATGAAGAAGATGGTGGGACCGGAGGCAGAGTAGGGACTAGAGTATGTGTAGCAGAGTCCTGCTGGTCTCCTCTTGATAGTGTCATAAGTGTGGCTGGTGTGTGTCAGAGCCTGACAGCACCCCGACAGGCGACAGCACCACCTGACAGCACCTGACAGCACCGGCCTACGTCTGACAGCAGCAGCAGCCTGACAGCTCTGACAGCTCCGACAGCGTCTGACAGCAACACCCGACAGCTCCGACAGCACCCGACAGCTACAGAGCACCTCTGATGTCAGACACGCACCCGACAGCACCCGACAGCACTGACAGAGGCACCTGACAGCTGGTCTGACAGAGGCACCTGACAGTGCCTGACAGTGCCCGACAGCCCGACAGATCACCTGACAGCACCTGACAGCCTGACAGCCAGGGCTCAGGGCGGGATCCGAACACAGCCTCACCGTCACCGCCGACGGCGCCGTCTACCCGTCTTCAGAGTTCACCTGGGGCAACGACGGGCCCGGCTGCCTCGGCCACGGGGAGGACCTATCGAAGCAGCTGCTGCCCAAGAGGGTCGGGGCATGATCAGTTAACCGACAAGTGAGTGCAACTCCTCTGACTCGCGCTTTTTCGAGACCTTAGACAGAAGGAAGGAGTCGAAAGCAAAAAGAAGTCGTGCGTGGCGGTCGCCCGCGCACTTGAGCCAGCTAGTGGAGTGTCTCCGCTAGCCCTCTCACTTCGCCGACCCTCCAAGCGCCGTCCAAGCTGCTCGTGGGCTCTGGCAGCGCCATTCTTCATCTGAGGCTGTGCATTGGGCCCAAGAGTGAATGCGGATCGCTCGCCGCCGGATCGCTGCGCGTGCCGCGCAGCGCGCCGTCGCGCAGATTGACGGCCAGCCCGTGCTCATCCACAACACGGCGCGGCACTACTACGACTCGATCGAGCTCGCAGCGGGTGCGACGCGCTCCGGGAGTGGGATCGGCGAGGTCGGCGACGTGACTGGCTTTCGCGTGTGGGAGTCTGCGCCGCTCGCCATCGCCCACCTCGAGCGGCGCCGGGCCTCAATTGTGTGCGGCCGGTCGGTCATCGAGCTGGGCGCCGGCACGGGCGCCGTGGGCCTCTCTGCTGCGGCGCTGGGAGCCAAACACGTCGTGCTCTCCGACGCCGACTCGGTCGTGACGCTCGCCGCCGGGCCGGGCGAGCGGGAGGAGCGCAGCCGGCTCGAGTCGCTCGCTGAGAATGCGAGGCTCAACGGAGAGCGGGCCGCGGCGGTGAGCGTCGCGCCCTGTCGCTGGGGCGACGCCGCGCACCTCGCCGACCTCGCCGGGCGCTGGCCTGAAGGCTTCGACACCGTCGTCGCCTCGGACGTGCTCTACTCGCCGCGATCGTACGCCGCCCTCGGCGCGACGATCCGCGCTCTGGCCGGCGCCGACGCGACGGTGGTCCTCGCGTTTCCGGAGAGGCACGGCGGGGAGGCGCGGCGCGGCGCAACAGCGCGCGCGGTGGGGCCTCTGGAGCGGGCCCCGCTAAAGGTCACGTGCCCCGACGCCTCAGGCACGCTTCGTGGAGGGGCTCGCGCCGGCCTTTGCGTTGGTGGACAGCGAGGCAGCCGGCGAGGGCGCGGCGGCGGCGGCGGGCGGCGCCCGACTGCGGGTCGTCGAGCTGCGGCGCGCAAGGCCGAGATGGTGCGGCGGTGGCGATGGGTGATGAGCGCGCGTGAGGCCTGACCAGTCAGACAGCGTTTTCGTGGGTTCCGCAACAAACCTCTCTGAACACCGTGGAAGCCCCTTTCCTGTGCGGGCCTGCCAGCACTTTGCCATCCCAGCCTCTCTGCGACCACGCAGCGTCCAGCGAGACGCTCGCTAACACGCTAGTCCTAATAAGTAAATACCGTATAACGGTCGGTGTGCTGTGGTGTAACGGCGCGCGTTGCCTTTGGCTTTGCGCTTTGGCCCGCTAGCCCGGTAGCGCTTTGCCCCCGCATGTGCATGCACATGAGCATGCACATGCCCACACACATGCACTGTCGTCTGTCCATGTGCATGCCATCACCTTCACGGAGGTGACGCGAGCTTGTCAGGCGTCCGCGATTCGTTCTCGCAGGCTTTTTTCTTT